ACAGACCGTACAGTTGGTCACAAAGCAAGCCTCAGCAGATACAAGAAGATTGAAATAATCCCTATATCCTATCTGACCACCATGGTCTAAAGCTGGACCTCAACAACAACAGAAACAGCAAAAAGCCTGTACATACATGGAAACTGAACAACTGGCTACTCAATGACAGTTTGGTTAGGGAAGAAATAAAGAAATTAAAAACTTCCTAGAATTCAATGAAAATGAAAGCACAACATTTCCAAACTTATGGGACACAATGAAGGCAGTACTAAGAGGAAAGCTCATAGCACTAAGCGCCTTCAAGAAGAAATTTAAAACATCTCATACAAGCAACTTAATGGCCCAACTGAAAGCCCTAGGAAAAAAAGAAGCAGATACACCCAAGAGAAGCAGGCGGCTGGAAATAATCAAACTCTGGGCTGAAATCAATCAATTAGAAGCAAATAAAACTATTTAAAGAATCAATGAAACCAAGAGCTGATTCTTTGAAAAAAATCAACAAGACAAGCCCTTAGCCAAACTAACAAAAAGCCAGAAAGAAAATATTCAAATCAGCAAAAACAGAAATGAAAAGGGGGACATAACTACAGACACTGAGGAAATCCAAACAATCATTAGGTCTTACTACAAAAGCCTATATGCCACAAAATTTGAAAATCTAAATGAAATGGACAATTTTCTTGATAGAGTCCATCTACCTAAATTAAGTCAAGATCAGATAGAAAGATTGAATAGTCTCATATCCCCCAAGGAAATAAAAGCAGTCATCAAAAGTCTCCCTTTCAAAAAAAAAAAAGCCCAGAGTCAGATGGTTTCAGTGCATAATTCTACTAGACCTTCAGGGAAGAGCTAACTCCAGTTCCCTTCAAACTATTACACAAAATAGAAACAGAAGGAACATTACCAAACTCATTCTGTGAAGCCACAGTCACCCTGATACCTAAACCACACAAAGACCCAACAACAACAAAAAGAGAACTTCAGACCTATCTCTCTAATGAACATTGATGCAAAAATACTCAATAAAATACTTTTGCAAACCAAATCCTAGAACACATAAGAGATATCATCCACCATGACCAAGTAGGCTTCATCCTAGGCATGCAAGGGTGGTTCAACATACGGAAATCCATCAGTGTGACCCATCATATGAACAAACTGAAGGAGAAAAACCACATGATCATCTCCTTAGTGCCAAAAAAGCATTTGACAAAATCCAACACCCATTCATGTGTAAAGTCTTGGAGAGATCAGGGATACAAGGCAGAGACCTAAACTTGTAAAGGCAATATACAGCAAGCCTAGCCAACATCAAACTCAATGGAGAGAAACTTAAATCAATCCCACTGAAATCAGGGACACGGCAAGGCTGCCCATTGTCTCCATATCTCTTCAACATAGTACTTGAAGTACTAGCTAAAGCAATAAGACAACTAAAGGAGATCAAGGGGATACAAATTGGAAAGGAAGAAGTCAAAGTATCACTATTGGCAGATGATATGATAGTATACATGAGCGACCCCAAAAATTCAACCAGAGAACTCCTTCAACTGATAAACAAGTTCAGCAAAGTGGCTGGATACAAAATCAACTCAAAACAAAACAAAACAAAACAAAAAACAGAAGCCCTCCTGTATACCAAAGTCAAAAGGACCAAGAAAGAAATTAGGGAAACAACAGCCTTCACAATAGCCACTAAAAACATAAAGTACCTTGGGGTGACTCTAACCAAGCATGTGAAAGACCTGTTTGAGAAAAACTTCAAGTCTCTGAAGAAAGAAATTGAAGAAGATATCAGAAGATGGAAAGATCTCCTGTGCTCATGGATCGGTAGGGTTAACATAGTGAAAATGGCCATTCTGTCAAAAACAATCTACAGATTCAATGCAATTCCCATCAAAATACCAACACAATTCTTTACAGACCTTGAAAGAAAAATTCTTAACTTCATAGGAAGAAACAAAAAACCCAGAATCTCCAAAACAGTCCTGTACAACAACAGATCATCTGGAGGTATCTCCATCCCTGATCTCAAGTTGTACTACAGAGCAATAGTAAAAACTGCATAGTATTGGCATAGAAACAGAATGTAGGATCAATGGTACCGAATAGAAGACCCAGAAATAAACCCACACACCTATGGAAACTTGATTTTTGACAAAGAAGCCAAAACCATTCAATGGAAAAAAGAGCATCTTCAACAAATGGTGCTGGTCCAACTGGATGTCTATATGCAGAAAAATGAAAGTAGATCCATATTTATCATCCTGCACAAAACTAAAGTCCAAGTGGATCAAAGACCTCAACATAAAACCAGACACATTAAATTGGTTAGAAGAAAAAGTGGGGAAGACCCTAGAACTCATCATCACAGGAGACTACTTCCTGAACAGAACACCAACAGCACAGGCCCTAAGATCAACAATAAATAAATGGGACCTCATGAAACTGAAAAGCTGCTGTAAAGCAAAAGACACTGACATCAAAACAAAACTACAGCCTACAGACTGGGAAAGGATCTTCACCAACCCTACATCTGACAGAGGGCTAATATCCAGTATATATAACAAACTCAAGAAGCTAAAAAGCAACAAATCAAGCAATCCAATAAAAAATGGGGTACGGAGCTAAACAGAGAATTCTCTGTAGAGGATTGTAGAATGGCAGAAAAACACTGAAAGAAATGTTCAATGTCCTTAGCCATCAGGGAGATGCAAATCAAAACAACCCTGAGATTTCACCTTACACCCATCAGAATGGCTAAGATAAAAAACTCAAGTGACAACACATGCTGGAGAGGTTGTGGAGAAAGGGGAACCCTCCTCCATTGCTGGCAGGAATGCAAACTTGTACAACCACTTTGGAAATCAATCTGGTGCTTTCTCAGACAATTAGGAATAGTGATTCCTCAAGATCCAGCTATACCACTCCCAGGCATATATCCAAAAGGTGCTCAAGTACACAACAAGGACATTTGCTCAACCATGTTTGTAGCAGCTTTACTCATAATAGCCAGAACCTGGGAACAACCTAGATGTCCCTCAACAGAGGAATGGATACAGAAATTGTGGTACTTTTACACAATGGAATACTATTCAGCAATTAAAAACGAGGAAATTTGCAGGCAAATGGTGGGATCTAGAAAAGATCATTCTGAGTGAGATATCCCAAAAGCAGAAAGACACACATGGTATATACTCACTTATATAGACCTATAAGATAGGATAAACATACTGAAATCTATACACCTAAAGAGGACCCAGGGTAAGATGATCAATCCTCACTTAGAAAGACAAACGGGATGGACATTGGATGTAGGAGAAAACAAGTAACAGGACAGGAGCCTACCACAGAGGACCTCTGAAAGACCCTACCCTAGCAGTGTATCAAAGCAGATATTAAGACTCATAACCAAACCTTGGGCAGAGTGCAGGGAATCATATGAAATAAGAGGGAGTTAGTAAGACCTGGAGAGGACAGGAGTTCCACAGGGACCAAAGATATCAGGGCACAGGGGTCTTTTATGAAACTGTTTCTCCAACCAAGGACTATGTATAGTTATAACCTAGAACCCCTGCTCCGATATAGCCCATGGTAGCTCAGTATCCAAGTGGGTACCCTAGTAAAGGAAACAGGAACTATTTCTGACATGAACTCAATGGCTGGCTCTTCAACACCCCCACCCACACATACACCGAGGAAGGAGCAGCCTTTCTAGGCCACAGAAGAGGACATTGCAGCCAGTCCTGAAGAGACCTGATAAGCTAGGGTCAGATGGAAGGGAAGGAGGTCCTCCCCTATCAGTGGACTTGGAAAGGGGCAGGGAGGAGATGAGGGAGGGAGGGTGGGATTGGGAGGGAATGAGGGATGGGGCTACAGCTGGGATACAAAGTAAATAACCTGATTAATATAAAAAATAAAAATTAAATAAAAAAATGACTCTTTTAAAACATGTTATTCACACCTTGCCTCAATATGTGTAATATACAAATCAACACAGCACTGTCTCCATTGCTGGACAGTTGACTCTCAAGTTATTAAATAATAAACGGGAGAGATGGCTCAGGGCGCGGTCTGCTCTTCCAGAGCTCGCTGATTCCCAGCAACCCCATGGTGGCTCACAATCATCTCTGCTGGGATCCGGTGCCCTCTCCTGGCATGCAGGTGTACATGCAGACAGAGCACTCATATATGTAAAATAAATCTTTTTTTAAAGATCAGAGAAATTTGACTGAAAGCATCAGGTAACTGCCTTATCACATCACATGGACTCATCCAAAGTAAGGCCATGACAGGGGTAAGGGCTAGAGGCTGTCTTGCAGATGAAGGGAAACCTTCATTGTGAGGTGCCTTTCACATAGCTAGGCAGAACCAGGGTGGGCTGTGTATATGACGTTTGAATTCTGGGCTGCCGGGATGACTTGAGGACACGGAAGCCACTGGGCTTTTGCTGCGTTTTCACTGTCCTCAGCTTGTGTCTCACCCTGCTTTCCATCGGAGGCAACAGGTAGAGATGTTCATACAAATCTAGATTACATAGATAAAGCAGAGGAAAGACAGTGGCCAGGTTCTAGGGTACAAACAGTTACTCTAGGTCTTCCCAGCAAACTAACCTGCTTGGAACCCATACTCCCCAACTCTTTTCCTTAACCTCTCCACTTCCCTTCTGCCCTGGAGACCATCATGGAGCTAGGGGGGAAAGCTGAAGAAAGGACTTCAGAACAAAACTACAAAAGTATGAAGGAGTGTTCAGCACACAGTGTGCAGGTCTACAGAGCGCCAATCATATCCGAAGGTACCTAATTATGCGAAAATGTTAAAGACCAATTCAGCATGAGGAAAGGATATAGAAATCACCTTGCAGAAGACCATTTTCTAAACTATGTTCCACTAAAAATCACGTTGCAAATACGACAGGATTTCAGGCTGATTTTCCCACAGGGGAAAGCTGACCAAACTCCCATTGTCGCACTGTTAAGAACCAATCCGGAAGCCGAAGGTGGTGGTGCATGACTTTAATACCACTTAGGAGGCAGAGGCAGATGGAGCTGAGAGTTCAAAGCTAGCTGGTTTACACAGTGAGTTCAGAACAGCCAGGCTAAACAGGTTGTCTCTAAAACATACACACACACAAAACTAGGTATAACTTGTCATTTTAAGTCTTAGGTTCCCAGCTACTGTCAAAATATGTCAATATATGGACACACCACCTCAGGAGGAACACACTAAGGAAGTGAGCCAGCCCACATAACCAGAATGAAATTTCTATTTATCAGAATATCATTATAAAACCATTCTACAAAAGTAACACCTTCTTGAAATTTCATTTTAAAATGAGGAAAAAATAAATCCATTGTTTTATTTAACATTCATTCTGAAGTTACAGTTTTATCGATACAATCTGCTTCTAATGAAAAAAATCTTAGTATAATCCTACAAACATGCATTTATACACAGTAAGATTCTTCTATATTCCTAAATTACATACATGATATACATTAACAATAAAGAATACCAATGTGAGAATTCAGGACATTTATTTTTCTGCATGGGAATTTAAATTAACTACTGTGTAGCGCACACGGCACTTACGTTCACTAGGTAGTGAGACACTAAATAAGCATACTCAAACTGTCTACAAACAGACTTTGTTTTTTTTAGGCGGCAAAGTATTTTCAGTCCTTGACATCTCACTCACCTAGCACCAGATGCAAGGACTTAACAGTAAACATGTACAATCTCATGCTTAAGACCTAAAGCATGCATTGAGTCAAATTTATACATTGTGATCTATACTATCATATATGCAATATATATTTTTACTAATATTTTATACATTAAGTTACCCTGCAGCATTCTGGAATTTTAACATTTTTGAAAAGTTTATGCAACAAGTCTGAAGGCTGGTTTGGGTCAGTGGGAAAACGGCAGCAGTCTGAGGCTTACACTGAAAAAAGATGGCGTAGTTCCTATCAACCCAAGGAAAGATGCCATGTACACGGATGACATGGGGTTTGTGCAGCTGGAGCCACCAGTGCAAATGCATGCATTTGAGGTACTTATTTTTTCCATGGTCAGGTATAATTATGCAGTCATTTTTCTCAAGCTCTTAAGAATTAACACCTAATCAAATAAAAAGCCTAAAGTTTAAATATGAGATATTTATATAATTATTTTCCAAGTACTATGCTTTCAAATGAAGAGTCAACATTATAGGCTTAGATATCTCATTTTCTCATTTTACAGACTGACTGGTAATTATACCTGGCCAAGTTATAAATAGCATACTTGATATTCTTGTGGGAACCATAATGAAATAGTAAAACACTTCATTATTGCTTCATCGGACTGAGAAACCTAAAAGGCAGCAGCAGTGGTTCAATGGTGAAAACTGAACATCAGAGCAGCCGCACGTGCCCCCGGCATCCTCTGTGACTAAGCGTTCTCCACATTATCAATGCCGTTGGCATCCACGTGGATATTAGGCTCCCCACAGAAAGATGAAGAGACTAGCTGGCTGACAGAACTAACGGAATGACACAAACAGTTCTGAAGCTCTGGCAATTCTTGCTTCAGGCGATCCAACTGCTCCACTTGGAAAATATTTGGCTGTTCAGGCATCCAATCATATATCCTATAGTGAAACAAGCACAAAAAAAAAAAAATGTAATTTCATGTTTACTAAAGACTGCCTGACTTAAGCTTTTCAAAATATTCCATTTAAGAAATGCCTGGAATATCCTTATTACAGAGATTTTATTCTGCTTTATGATAAAGATCAAAATAGTTGCATTAAGTTTTTTCTTCTCCCTCACTTTTCAAATACAACTTTTGTAACCTTGGCTATAGAGCAATCCCTTGCATCAGAAAATATAATCTGTAGTTTTTCTAATGATTGTAGAAGTGTATGCCCGCCCAGTCAATTAACTGCTGTGCCTGAGAGCTAGAGCTCATCCCCAGGGACTCGGGTCACAAACATCAGCATCTGGAGTGGAGAGAGCACAGAGCCTCGGCTGAGGCAGGCTCACAGGAAGGCCAGCTTCACGCTGACCTGCACACACCAAGCAGCAACACTGCTGCTGTCGTAGAAGCTTCATGAGGGTAAGCAGTCTTCACAAGAGGGTAAGCAGTCTTAGAATATATACATACTCTAACCAGTAAGTATATGTTTAAACATACATCTATATTTATAAATATATAAAATACATCTATTACTTTGCAAAGTAACGCAAAGGTTTTTCTACTAAAGAAGTGCAAGACGAATGTGTTGGCTCTGAAGTTAGAGTTTTTCTGCAGTTGACTCTGAAGTTATAGTATTTCTGCAGTCTGAATGGCAATCCAGGTTTGGTCCCCAGCACTGAGAACCATCCATCCATTCACACACACACACACGCACACACCAAGCCCAATGTGCCAGAGAATGAAAAGCATCTAACTTCAAACTCCTTACATCCCATTAAAAGGAAAGAGAATTGTCAAAGTATGCGAGTATGCCAAATAACAGAGACAAAGGAGTGACTGTGGAAGCTTAGAAGACAGCTGCAGTATTAAGTTTCTGGGTTTATTTCAATGAAAACAGGTCCAATCAAAAGACAAATTGATAGCCGTTGACAGGCAAAACAACTTTTAAAAGCAGCACAAGGTACCCCCTTGATCTGGAAATAAAAGGGAGGGAAAAAAAGGATGAGGTGGGGTCTTTACGCAGCAGTTAGGTGTTTCCCTCTCCGGCCATGGCTGCCTGACACTGGCTGGTGAAGAAAATAGGAAGTCCCTTAGAATGGAAGAAGAGGCCCAGCACCGCCACTATGGAAGCTAGCCAAACACAGAAGCATCCTTCCAAAGCACTCAATTCTCTTCTCAGCTGACCATGAGGGCAGCCACTCATGGTTCCCCAGGATCATGCAGGCATTCTGAGGAAATCTAATCAGCCAAAAAGTGAAGCCCTGAACACAACCTAAAAAGATCTGAGCAAGTAGGCCACCCTGTAATGGAAGCCCAGGCCAACAATCCCATTCACTCACCCAGAGCTTCTAATACACTTCATAGATTTCAAGAAAACTTTTAAATGTGGAATATGAAAAGAGAGAAAAACCTTAAAAAAAAAAAAAAAAAAAAAAAAGACAAAACTAAAATAACCATCAAGACCTGGGAGGAATAGTACTTTCACCAAATGAGAACAGGATACCACATGTTCCCTAAATAGCACTCTCAGAAAGAAAAAGAAAACCACACACAAATCAAGAGGTCTTTAGGAATTAAAAACATAGTAGCATATATGGAAAACTCAATGCAACAGATGAAAAGGTTCTCCAGCGTAGAATGAAAAAACAGATAGGATTTTAAGTGTGGACCAAAGATACATGTGTTACACAAAGACAAATCCAGAAATGTGTAAAATACAGAAAACTCAGAAGTGTTATACATTGCTTATTCTTTCTCCAGTACCAGGGATAAGCCCAGGGCTGTGCATACACTATAGCTGACCTACATTCCCATCCCAAAATTCCATATTGCTGCATTCCCCAAACCAGGGTCTCCCATCAGGCCTCCTGAGTACTGAGCTTACAGCACACAGCATCACACCAAGTTTATGCTGTGCTGGGAACAAACTCTCGGTTTTGTGCACGCAAGGCAAACACTGGACCAAGTATGTGGCATAACCAGCCCATAGTCAATGACATACACAAACAAGCGAGAAGGGGCACATAGTGCTCAGAATGAAAGCAGACTTAGAAGAAGAAGAAGGTCTAGCTCTGGTTTCAGATCATTGGTAACAAAGAGTCAATCCTACCAGGTCTCACGGGGAAAACAAATTATACTTAAGGAAACAGCAACAAATGACTCCCCAGTTCTCAATGATTACACTGAAAAGGGAGCAAAGAGGTGAAATGTTAGAAAACCCTACTTCTGATACAGAACTCCAGCTTGGCCATACTTTTAAACAAACAAACAAACAAACAATGTTTACAATTCCATGTCCTCTTTCAAGAGGACACAATGATAGTAAGCCATGAGAAATAGATATGGCTATCAAAGAGAAGCTTGAAGACACAGAATGTTAGCAAGAGGCTACTCTTAGGATGGCGTCTGTGCCCACAGAAGCCAGCTGATCTATACTAGAACAGCTACTGAAAACAGGAGAGTCACTGCCACTTAAAGTGTCCCCTAGTCTCAACCAGAGCCCTGCTTAAACACTGTGTCTGAGCGATGGGCTCTCCTGGCAGGACCCTACCCCTGAGAACCTGTGGAAGGCCATGGTGGACAGCTCTATAACTTACTTTAATTGTCCTGTGACACTTCCAAAAACATCTGAGCCAGCGCTGGAAGTCTGACTTTGCTGCGCTAACAGCTGAATGGGTCACAAAGCCAATAAAAGCCAAAATTTGAATCTAACAAACACATGACTAGGAGACTCTACAGAACTGAGTTTTTAATCTCACAGACATGCATGTATGTGTACTCTGTTGTAAAAGAAGGTGAGCAAGCAACCACACAGCTCTGAGTCACTGCCCTAGAAAAATTTTACACCTATATTCCAGGAGACCTGATAAATAATATTCACAGAAATGCTAACTGCCTAAAAGTTCTTAAATAACAGAAAGTGGAATAATTCACAGCCACATGCAAAATGGATTGAGACTATTACGAGTAAAAAGATTAAATTCATATAAATAAAAAATAGCCTATTATTTAAGGATTAAAATAAGTTTAGAACTTTTTAAGAGAAAAATTAAGTGGTTGATGAAGAACAAAGTGGGAAGAACTGGGATTATACAGAAGCCCATGAGGACTTTAAACTCACTACAGTCTGTATTACTTTCCCTCCTCTCTCTTGCTCCCACTCTTTTTTGAAGTTCATGGTGCTTGGGACTAAACTTATGGCCATTCACAATGCCACTTAGGCCCTCTGTCACTGGTGTATTTGGGCCCCTCCTCTGGGTTGAGCTGGGTGGCAGGGGCACATCTACAATCTCAGAGCTTGCACAGAGATTGTAGATTGAAGAGGACTTCAAGGCCCAGGGCTATTCTAGACTCTGTGCCATTTGCTGTACCAAAGCCAGATGATCAGCAGACAGAGCTATAAAGGCCAACCTAAATTAACCACTTCCAATGAAATGTTAGGGAAAAAAAAAAAAATCGCAACAGTTCTACACCATGAGCGGGGGCTACCTGAACATGCTGTGCCTTAATGATTTTGTAGGAAAACAATGTGTCATTGAAAATGCATACTTGAGTCTGGGCTGCAAATCAGCTGCTCTATTGTTTACTCAGTGCACAGGGGGCCGGGTGAAGCCTAAGTACCTTGTACATTGGGTGTGGTGGCCGATGACTAGAATCCCAGCACTTAGGCGGAAATAGCAGGATCAGAGGCTCAAGGAAGTTCAGACAACAGCTTGGGGCTACCAAAAACAAAAAACAAAACAAACAAACAAAAAAAACCAAACCAAACCAAACCCTACACAGTCCTATCACCACTCTTACAAATTCCCCAAGGCGCCAAATCACTAATTACTCAAAACCTTCTAAATTAAGTCTATTTAGAAATAGACAGGTAAACATAACATTAAAAGAAAAACAAAAAATGAGAAGACAGAAGCTTGGCCAGGGACAACTGAAGGAAAAAAAAGGTGTTTTATTATAAGCCTTAGAGAACTATTAGAATTCTTATGTTATATGCACATATTTTCACAGCAATATAACCTCCCATTCTCTTGGTCCCTAAGTAGAGCCCATGTCAGGCCAGCCCTCCAAATGCCCCAACAACCCTGCCCTGCCTCATGCTGGGTCCATGCCTGTAATCCAAGTCCTATCAAATCCAACCATCTCAAACTTTCCACTTTGCTTTTCCTCTTTAAGATGCCAAGCCAGGAAGAATCTTCCTCAGTACTTGTTAAAATATTGTCCTACTATTACACATCAACATTGGGCTCAACTATGAGAGCCCTTTGGAGGAAGGATCTAAGTTTGTATTACTTAGCAAAGTCATACCTCACACCATCTTTTCCTTGTCTTAAATACTTGCAGTCATTTCTTCTTCTGCATACTCACAGACATATGTAAATTTTTCCAACATTTGCTAAAGCCAGTATTTTTATCAAATTGTTAATATAAAATTTACATTTTTGTTATTTGGAAACACCTCCTTTTAAATATCTGACCAGTCATTCTGGTCAGTAAGACAACAGACCACTTAGGCGTGGTAGTATTCCCAATCTTTGGGAAGCTGAGGCAGGAAGATTGCAAGACTAAGCCAGCCTGAGCTACATAGTGAAACCCTTATCTCCAAAATGAAAATAAACAAATTAAAAAGTCAATAAACTGGACCAACTCAGACAAAACAGTGGGAGTAAAATCTTTATTAAAGAATGATATAACTTAGTAGGACAAAAAGTAGTATTATTAAATCCAAGGAGAGTATATTTTTGTTTTTTACGCAGGTCTGGTGAAAACTTTATCACTTCTTCCAGCAAGTCAATGATTTTTACAACCTAAAACCTCTTTATACTACAGCAATGTTTTGAGTATTAGCAGCTACTAAACTTGCACGTCAAATACCAATTCCTAGGAAGCTCTTTTGTCTATCCAGTCTGCAAATGTTAAATCCCATAGTCTGTATCATACTGCCAAAGCTTTGGAGACAGTGAACAAAAACAAGCAAAAGGCCTTGCCCTGGAGAAGCCTACACTCTCTCTGTGTGTATGCATTAGGGAACAGGGAATTACTAGTTCAAAGAGGCCAGGAAGAAAGACACATGGTGCAATGTTACATACATGTTGTGTGTTGGTCAGTGACAAACGATAGTGAGCCAAGTTAAGAAGTACCCTGTGAACAGAAGCTACTATTTAAAACAGTGTACTTAAAGAGCCCTCATTCAAGTGACATTTCTGTGTTTTTCTACAGCAAAAAAAAAAAAAAAACAAAAAAACAAAAAAAAACAAAACAAAACAAAAAACAAAAAACCTGCACATGGAAGGCATCGAGAGGAAAGATCCAAAGGCAAATAGGGTAGAGAGATTAAAGAATACAGAAATGGAAGACTTCGAGGATTTAGCCTGAGAAAGTAGAATAAGCAGAGTGAGCATTTACCCTGAAATCAAGATACGAAGGGACAACACATGTCAAAAGGCCAGGGAGAAGTTCTGCGTTGGAAACACACATCACCGGGAATGTGTAAATATATTACATTCAATGAGGTCGCTGTAGTGGTTGAGTAAGAATGTCTGGTTCCCAGCTGGTGGACTGTTGGGAAGGGTTAGGAGGAACAGCGTTGTCGGAGGAGATGTGTAATGGGGGTCGACTTTTGCAGTTACAAAAGCCCACCTCAGGCCCATTCTATTTTGTCTGTCTGTCCTCTTCTCTCCGACCTCCACAATGGTCATGGTCATGGACTCATACCCTCCAGAACTGCAAACAAGCTTTTTACTAAATGCTTCCTTTTAAGTCACCTTGGTCATGGTGTCTCTTCATGGCAACAGAAAGGCAACTAAGAAATTGCTGAGAAAGTTCTGACAGAAGGTGTACGAAAGGCAGCTGCCCTCACCCCAAGGCAACTTAAAGTGGTTTTGCCATACTTCCAATACCTGGGAAAAACTGCAAGTGTCAAGATAAACTTTAGGCTAAACTACATAATTTTCAACTTTACTGAATTTAATAGTTTAGAAGATAGAAGTTACACTTTTTGTATAATTCCGTTGAGATTTTTTACGAAAAACAAATACCTATCATATATTAGACCATTTACTCCAAATTCCTTCAGTTTCCTTCTGTTCTCAGGGTCATTGGTTTCATCACCCCAGCAGAATATGACCAATCCCTTAGCCTTTGCCTCTTGGACATAGGATGGATTTCTAAGCAGGTCTTCAGTATGGGCATTTATCCCCTGAAAAAAGAAAAATTCACTGTTTACAAAAAGAAAATGTAGTTATTACAAATGCTAAATGATCTGACTCTGGGTTAGTGTTCTTCAGAACAGATGCAACAAAGAAAGATGGGCAGATTTTTCCTTATAATCTCCCTTATTTAATGGATTACATATGTGTGTCTATATATACAACATACTCTTAATATATGAATGTAACTTATAAGCACATATTGAATGTGTAGTCACTGTCATTTCTCCTTGACATTAGTTAAACCCTTTAATCAGCTGTTAGAACAGGAAACCTTATTTAATACTGTCTAAAACAAAATACTATGAAAACCTACATGCCAGCAACATTTAATGGACTCAGAAGGCCGTGTGTGTATTAATTATGCATGTGTATGTAACAATAATAAAGAAAGAGAGGCCATGCATTTGAGAGGGAGTGGGGAGTGCATGAGAAGACTTGGAGGAAAGAGAGAGAAATGATAGAAATATAGTGCATACATATGAAATTAAAAGAAAAATAAAGTTAATTAAAAAAAAAAGAGGAAAATTGAAACACAACTTACTAAAATATTTTCAAACTGTGCAAAGCTCATTGCAATGGGTGTTGTCCGAGATCTAAGGTCCATGAGTTCAGGATAAATTTCAGATTTTCCTTGGGTCAAAAATAATATGGGGTATTTGTTTTGCTTTTGCCGAACCCTAAATAGACAAGGTAAAGGAAAAATATTATAAAGATAATACTTTGAAACTTTAGAAACTACTAAAAAGAAAACAAGAGAGAAACAGAGCTAGGCATCATGGCTCCAGGAAGTTAAGGCTGGAAAATCACTGTAAGTTCAAGGCCAGCCTGGGCTATACAGTGAATTCATGATCTACAGACCGAGAAACTCTCAAGAAAAGGACAAACAAGAAAAAGCAATCCATTACTCAGATATAACCATGTCAAACCATCTAAAGTTTTTATATTCAAGAGTTAAAATAACCTCAGAAACTGGCAATGGAAACCCCCTGGGGCTTAATCAGATATGGAGGACAACATGCCAGATGTGGGCTTACAGGAACAACACAGCAAACATCGAAGGAGCAGTGTGCACCTGATAAAGAAGCTCCCTTTTTCAGGAAGAAAAAACACAGGCAACTGACTCAGAGGTCAAACCAGAGTGCCACCTGGACAACCTTCCAAGTGCTAGCTCCAATCAAAGAGTACAGAATCAAAAAATACCCCTGAATATTACTCACATTGTACAAATATCTGCATCAAATGAAGAAAATACTATTCTTCTCTTGCCCGAATTCTCTAAAACAGTTTTTAAAATTATATCCAAAAACAGATTCATGTCAAAATATGTTGACAAGTTGCCATCCCATACTCCATCCTATATGGAAGAAAGAAAAGGAGAAGCCGTAACACAGGCTCGGGCTGCAGGGTTAGAGAAAGCCTTAAAGACAACCATCCCAACATTATAAATATAGTTACGTGTTTCCCAAAGGCATACAGGACATTACAAATACATATAGTACACATATCATCAAAGCAAAGGATCACATCCATCTTCTTATGGTTGCCCCCTTTGGTGCAGGGGCAAATGAAATGAGCTTATTTAACATGCATCTATCTCATGTACGACAAATAACCTACAGCCTTCACCTACATATGAATCTCTATATTTATCACACACATTTGTTATTTTCTATTCTTTGACCTCTGATGTCTTTACTTCCTCCCTAACACCCAGTAATTAGTTTTGTTCTTTACCTTTGAAATAAATACATTGGATTCCATATAAGAGTAAAATCATGCAATATTTTCCTGTGGCTGGCTTATTTCTACATAGCAAATAATTTTCAAGGCCCATTTACAAAGCTTATTCTTTTCTAGAGTTTGGCTATTTATTTTCTTTCTTTCCATTTGTTTGTTTGTTTGTTTTGAGACAGAGTTACTCTGTATATATAATCATGGCTGTTCTGAACTCTTTCTTTGTAGACCAGCCTGGCCTCGAACTCGCAGAGATCCACCTGCCTCTGCCTCCCCTTTAAATCCCTTGCTGGGATTAAAGGAAAGGCGTGCGTGCACCACCATGCCCAGCCATATGGCTATTTCTTTGCCTGTTTGTCCAGTAATGGACACTTAGGCTGTTTCATTTCTTTTTGGTAGATACCCAGGAAAAGGTATAGCTGGATCATATGGTAGATTTCTATTTTTAAATTTTTTAGAAACCTGTTTTCCATAATAGTTGTATCAATCTATACTCCTGTCGAGCCATGCTCAGGAGACCTATTTTAAACACATGGTGGCCAGTATTTGGTTTCTGTTATGTTTTTTATAATAACCATGCTAAAGAGAAATGGCATGAAACCTGCTAGTAGAACTACCTAACACTTATTTCACAATGAGGAAGCTGAAAGCCAGGAGCAACTGATTGAGAAGACCATATGGTAATACAAGGATAACACAGCAATAATAATTCAGGCAAGAGACAACAAGAGGATCAATAAACCACCAACAGGCTTTGGCTTTACGTTAACAGAAGAAAAGCTACATCTCTTGAAACCTGCAGTGTACTATGACTTAACTATTTTGACATAATCTTTATAAACCAAAACATATGCTCATATTCATTAAGTCTTAAATATCAGTCAAAACAATTCTAGAAACCTCAGCAAACAAACAAAAACTATGTATTAGGAAAATCTTGGTTGAGAATCTGCTATCTGAAGCAGGACCACCTTAGCCGGTCGTAAAGAGCATGACTTGAAGGTATTTACACACTTTTCTAGGCTCTCAGTCCAAATGGCCAAGTATGACTCAACACTCTACATTCCAGGCAACCTTCAACCATACATACCTTCCACTAGCACCAAATACACCAATTTAGTTCTTTCTTTAAAAGATTAGGTTTTTTTTTTTTTTTTACGCTATGTGCTTGTGTGTGGGTATGCACATATCAAAGCAGATGCCTGGATGCCAGAAACATTGGGTCCTCTTGGGCTTGGAGTTATGAGGTGTGAGGACCCGATGCTTAGGACTGAACTTGTATCCTCTGCAAGAGCAGTAAGTGCTCTTCAGTGCCAACAGTTAATTAACCCTTGCTTTCTTCAATTAGAATAGAACTCTAGGAAAGCAGGACCTTATTTTATCCTTACTCTACAGCATTCAAAAAATGCCTGATCTTTACAAAATATTTGTGGAGAATGAGTGACTAAACCTGTGATTGATTTAAAACATATTTATAGATATTTCTTCTCCTGTGTTAGTATTACTAACTTAAAAAAAAATGTGCTTAGGAAATTATTACTTAAATATGCATAGAGGTAGAATTTTTTAAAAATTTGAGTTTGACTATCTACTTTTTAAATACACCTAGAAACTGTTTATATTACTAGATACACAGGCCACATATATACCAAAACTTTTACAATATACATTCAGAAATCAAAAAATATTCACATAGCTGGGCATGGTGCCACATCCCTGTAATCCCAGCACATGGAGAGGCAGGCGGATCTCTATGAGTTCAAGGCCAGCCTGGTCTACAAAGCAAGTCTAGGACAGCCAGGGCTACACAGAGAAACCCTGTCTCAAAAGCAAAACAAAACAATTCACGTAAGTGTAAAGTATAACTTAAAAATGTCCACGGCTGGTGAAATGGTTTAGCAGGTAAATGTGTTTGCTACCCAAGTTTGAAAATCAGAGTTTGATCCCAAGTCTATAGTAGAAGGAGAGAACAGAGTCCTAAAAGCTGCCTTCTGACTTTCACATGCGTATCATAGCATCTATAGTCACATTCACACACACAAAATACTTTCTTTATTTTCAATTTTAAAGGTCCAGCAAACAATGTACTTCAATGAAAGAAACTACAAGATTTCAGTTTTACTTAATCCCCTTAAAACAAAAGAGAGTAAAAAAACAACAAAAAAAATTACTTACCCTGTGTTGGCAAATCCATTTTATTTCTATATTAAATCCTACATTTTCTGGCAATGATTCTAAAACCTTGTTTGTTGATGATGAATTGTATTGTTTTTGGTAAAATGGATGGCAAAATAGGAAAAAAAAAAGAATTATTACAAAAATAAGTTAAGACCATATTACCAATGTTTTGTTGTCATTATAAACCATTAACTTTTCTAAAATGGAACTGAAAACATGATAGATTTTTTTGCTAAATAAGAAAGTAAAAAAAGTTTTGTTTTGTTTTTCCTTAAAGCAGCAGGTTCAAGTAGTATCTTGGACAACTCATTTATCAGCACAAAAATAGAACCTTAACCTAAAATCTTTTTCATCATTCCTTTAAAATAATCTATAAAGTGAGCTATAGGCAGCAAGAAATATGGAAGATCCTATCCCTAACTCTAATTTTAACCCCTAACCTTGAGAAAATACACTATGTTGTTTTGAGATCCACAAATCAAAAAGGCTAATACACAGACACAAATACTTTGCTCATTTTTTCTTTAAAAAAAAATTTTTTTTCTAGACATTTGGCGAACAGATGATTTTGGCAGCCATAACAGGAAAATCAAATTAAAAGAGTGCTTGCTGAGAATGCAATGTGGTAGGAAATTCCTACCACTACCACCAAAAGCAAAAACATGAACAGAAGCCTAGTAACTAGAGTAGACCACAAACAACTGACTTAATAAGTAGGGATCAGGGCTGGAGAGATGGCTCAGAGGTTAAGAGCACTGGCCGCTCTTCCAGAGGTCCTAAACTCAATTCCCAGGAACTACACGGTGGCTCACAACCATCTACAATGAGATCTGTTGCCTTCTTCTGGGACACAGGCACACATGCAGGCAGAACGCTGCATATATAATAAGTAAATAAATCTTAAGAAAGTGGAGATCATTATGAAAGCACAGTGGCATCTCTAGCATCTACATGGACTTTTCTGAGGCTGCTCAAATGGTCTATACCTTCTAAATTATGACAATGATAATAATGATGGTGAGGACAAGGTCTCACTATGTAGCCCTACCTGTCCTGGAACTATGTAAATCAGGCTGGCCTCAAAGAGCTGTTTTTGCCTCCCAGAGTACTAGGGAGAAACTTGTGTGTGTCACCATGCCCAGCCAACTTTTAAAATCTCTATACTACTTTTTGCTTAAGTTTTCATAGTGAATTTCTGAGAGCTCTTATTTTAAATGAGGAAGGTTTTTATGTTCTCTCCAAACCCTAAGTTTTAAATACTGGAAAGAGACCACTTCCACCATCACACATGACATTTTCCTTCCACCTCCTTTCTTCCCCTCAGTGTCATCTCCTTCTGTTTACACAGAAATGTGCAAACTTGCTATTGTCACCAAATGAAGTTAGAAGTCACACTCAAGTGAACAGTTACGCTGCTCTGAAAACGCAGCACAGCCTCGTGGTGACAGCCAGCACATGCAATCCCAGCACGTGCAAGCAGGCAGGAAAGTCAAGATTTCAATAAGTCTAGGCTTAGCTCTGTGATATCATGCCTCACACTGATGATGATTTTGACACAGCCCTTTTAGTGTCCGTTTAATAGAAGAAACAAAAACAAAATCATTCATGCAAACAGAGATCAATGAGATAGGCCTGCCCCGGTGTTCCTCAAGAACTTACCATCTTAAGAGAAGGAAATGGCTGGTTTTCAGCAAGGAATTGTTCCTCCTCAACCAGAGATGCTGAAAATTCAAATTACAAAAGTTTGGTGAGTAAAATGGCCCTAAAGCAGACCTCCTCCCAAACCGTCGGAGCACCTGTGCACAGTGACCACATCTTTTTAGGCTCAGTACTTCTGAAGGCCCTTACATTTACTCTCTTTAACCATTTAGAACCCCGTTACCTAAACTAGCATCTAACAAGACTGATTCATAATACTTTGTGTAAACATCACCCTTTGTGGCTCTAAGAAATGATTATTTTCATATGAAAACTATTAACATGACTTTCTGAATGTAGTCAGAAGTAGTAATTCATTTCTCAGTGGAATTTGGAGTTGTATCAAAACCAACTCAGAAATTTTAGATTAATGAAAATCTAGGATTTGGGGCTATGGCACAATTAGTAAAGAGCTAGCCGAGCATGGAGGAGACCCTAAGCTCCTGCCTCGGGAATAAAAAAAAAAAAAAACTGGGCGTGGCCTATGCCTATAATTCCACACTTGGAAGATATGCTGAACTCAAAGCTAGTCTGAGCTACACAAAACTACCTTAAAAGCAAACAAGAAAATCTTCAGCTAGTTTTGTTAACATAATCTTTTAATGCAAAAAAAGAAAAAAGAAAAAAAAATCAAGTCATGTACTTTACAAAATTAAGTCTAAAATTAGGTAAAAATGTGCAACTGAATAATGAAAGGTAAATTTCACATTTTGTTTATAGTCATAAAGCATCTACAAGCCTATGAAGTCACATTCTGAGGTAATACTGTTGTGTGAAGCACCTCATAACCTTTCACCAAACCAGTCCTCACGTGGTTTTCACATTATCAAGCACCTGCCTTGTGCGGAACACTGTGAAAGCCAGGCTCTAGGACTTTGAAAGCACTGTTCTACCTTTGAGACAACACAGATAGCTAAAAATAAGGAGCACAGAAGCCATGGGTTTAAGCGGCACATAAATTGTTGAGCTCTGTTGACAGAGAATGGATGTGGGAGGCAGGGCATTCTGGGAGGACCCTGAGACACAAAGCTTTTCCGTCAAGTGACCGCCACAGCCATAGAGCTGAAACAAGTCCTGGCACTGAAGTCTGTACTTGAGAGGCAGTCTACTCTGTGACAGTTAACAATGTGTGGAAAGAACTGACATACTGACGCAAAAAAAGGAGTGAAATGCTGACTATGCAAGTAACAGCCCCGTTGAAAATCAACATAAGAGCGTCACATCTATGAGGTTACATTCTGATGGACCAAAGCTAGTCATTAAAATGACCAAGGATACATGAAAATGAGCAGGGAATATCCTATCTATGCTGATCATAAAAGAAAAACAATATTTCCAAACTGGTACATACGTTTCCGATCTTTGATTTTTAGTGCAGTCACATGAGAAAGCTAGGAAAGAAACACACAAAATGCAATTAGAAAAGTTGAAAACTTAGTGAACTAGAACAGACAAAATGTGGAATTACCAATTTAATAAACACTAAGCATTGTGTGAACTCTTTATTATATATGAATGAAATCATGACCAAGTGCCTAATAGAAGAAAAACTCCTAAGTTAGGAAACTATTTATAACTTAGCTATTTACTTAAGTATCTAATAGAGATAAGGAATCATGCAAAATAACACAGTAAAACAAAATATACCAAGATGTATAAAACTCACCAGAAAGCTAAAATATTCCATGCATGTTGTATCCATAGTCATTCTTATGTGCATAGATAAATGTAAATCATACTAAAGCTAAAGGAAAATTCACATTTTGTGTTACTATTAATACCTTCAATAACTGGAGTTGGTCAAATGTTAGTTCTTTTACTGGGATTTCAAACAATTCAACTGGATCAGCTTCAAATTTCTGTTAGAAAAAAAAAAGAAAGGTTTGAGATATAAACTATTTTACTATTTCTAAATGTTTACACCACCCACACCTACAACCTCAATTTACTGAAGATGAGGTTGCTCTTAGATAGCCATCATGACCCCATGCAGAAAAGTCCTTCTAACCTAACACTACAGCAGCGCCTGTTCGGGCTTTGAAAGATTATTATTATTATTCTATTTTTTCCTTGTAGACCTAGAAGAACCCACCGCCTTTCACATGCTAGGCAAAGGCTCTCATCTCTGAGCTACATCCCCAGCCCATGGCTTTTGTGTTCACTGCAGGCATCCAGTGCCTGGAAGGAAATGGCATCTGGCGGGTGGAGGCCCTGGCAAGGAGCATGATGTCAGGTATCATATTACTGCCTCCTTCATGCGGTATTCACTTTATTTGGCACTTATCCATGCTACATGCCTAGGAAATCAACATGCAAGTACTATAAGCAATTTAATGCTGCAAATAAATTTAATTTTTATAAGCCCTTTTAATATTTAAACTTGACTAAAAGTGGCAGCCATACAAAAATTTCTATGAAAATATGTAAAATTATCTATAAGCAATATTTAAGAACCATGATCTAGCATGTATCCTTCACAGGCAAATCTACATTTTTAAAGCCATATCAAATGTTATGCTCTAGGAAGTACCACTCTCTTAAAGAAATGAGTTATGGTACCACAAATAAATCAACTCAACAGTACAAGCCATTGCACAAATATACTCATTCGCTCATGGACATTGGTACAAACCTGTGCATTCACAAATTTTTTCTGGAAGGACACACAAGAAACTATTAAGAATAAGGGAATGATATCAAGAGGGGGAAGGGGGACTTCTCATTCATTTCATCTTCTGAACTACTTGCATTTATTTCTTAATAGACATGGATGAATTATTTTTACATAAAAATGCTAACTTTAAAAAACTCAATGTAAAAATATATACAATCCATTATTTCATTTCCCCACTAACTCATTTAGATTTAACTTCACAGCAAGACAGCTTGTTGAAGACAAGAGATCAATATATTCTTCAATAAGCTATTTTAGAAATAACATTCTCTTGTAGAAAAATCTTCACTATTTGCTCCTTAGCATATTCCTTGAGGACATGAATCCTCTCCTGATACTATTTCACAAAGGTCCTTATCTAGGTCTGTGCTTAGAACCTATCTGCTGAGCAGGTAGAGCCAGCTTTCCTGTCAGATTCTATTGTCCAACAGCAGTGTCAGCTAGTGTTCTACAGCAGCAAACTGGCCTTAACTTTAAATCAGCACACTTGAAAACAATACTCAATGCTTTTTTTAAACATGTGAAAACCTTCCTAATAATAATAACGGTAAATTTTAAAGATCCTATGCACATTTTTAAATCTCACTATAGCCTCTTCCCTGATTCACACCTCCCTCTCCATTCTTTCTGCTCCTACTGGTCTGGGGCTCACAGTTCTGCAGCCCTTATATTCTTGTATCCAAGGCATGGATTGGTGTTGAAGTTTAGCTCTCAACATTTCTTTTCTCAGCCACAGGCTTTCTTTTTCTCCCTAGCTCTCTCATCTAACCTGCCTTGACTAAGACCATCTATACACTGACTCCACACCAATCCACCGTGGTACCTTGTAGCTTTGGCTAAGCTGTGCTAGCTGATTTAACATATGAAGCAGAAATAGATGGAGTCCTGGAAACAACAAAAAACTTCTCCTCTTCTGCCTCAAGACTGTACAGGGGCGACTAATGCAGAAAATACCTAGTACGTCCCTTCATCAGTAACATTGAAAGGTAAACTGAGAACACTGTTGCCTCAGTCATCATTCCTATCAAACCTATCTCTTAATACTATAAAGGCCTAAGTAATTCACTAAGAAAATGAATTTACCAACTCTAACAAATAACTAAAATAAATGTAACAAACTTTGTTTTTAAACATTTTATGTCAGGAACCATAAAATACAGGAATTTCAACATACCTTTTTCATAGTCAAACAGCATGTGAGATCATGATATACCACAGGCACAAAATCCTTTGAAAGGTGGACGTCAAATTCTACAAATGCTGCACCCTGACAGGAGAAAAGGAAGCAAGTGTTTCAAACAAGTAGATAGTAGATAACACACTTCTTACCACAGAGCAGCTTTTTTTAAAGGTAAAATTAACATTTTGTACAGAAAACCATTACAATTTTGTACAATAAGATGTCTATGAATATCTCACTTCAAACTTCTTCAGAATTGTTAGTCCCCTACAGTTTTCTCTTTTGCAAAAGTACAACATTTTCCTGGCCAAAAAAAAAAAAAAAAGAATGTGTGTTGGAGTGTCCTAATCCATTTGCAAATACCCACAGCAACTCAGCAACAGTGAGACAGGCTTTAAGTACTGCCTGGGCCTTGCTCTGAACAGAAACAGAACTGAGCAGGAACACAGGACTCTAGCTGAACAGCTGAACCTCAGGAAGAAGTGAATGAAAGAATACACTGTAGAGCCGTTGCACTGTGACCCTGGGCTCTGGGCTCACCTGATCAGTACAGTTCAAAAGCTTCTCTTAAAAAATCAGCACAAAAAGACATTTGCTGGAGAAGTGGCTCTGTAGTTAAGAGCACTTGCTGCTCTTGTAGAGGATCCAGGTTAATTCCTAACTCAAATATCAGGTCACTTAGAACCACTTATAACAACAGTCCCAGGTGATCTCATGTTCTTTTCTGGCCTCTATGGGCATAGGCATGCATATAGTGCATGCATATACACACATAAACACAGACACACACACTCTCTCTCTCTGGCTCACACACATACATACAAATTAAAATTCTTTTTCTCCCCCAAGTTTATTTTTTCTGTTAATTACAGTCTATTCAATTTGTATCCCAGCTGTAGCCCCCTCCCTCTTCTCCGATGCCCCTCCCCAAGTCCACTGATAGCGGAGGTCTTCCTCCCTTCCCTCTGACCCTAACCTATCAGGTCTCATCAGGACTGGCTGCACTGTCTTCCTCTGTGGCCTGGTAAGGCTGCTCCCCCTTCAGGGGGAGGTGATGAAAGAGTCAGCCACTGAGTTCATTTCAGAGACAGTCCCTGTTCCCCTTACTAGGGTATCCACTTGGACACTTAGCAGCCATGGGCTACATCTATGCAGTGGTTCTAGGTTATTTCCATGCATGGTCCTTGGTTGCAGTATCCGTCTCAGAAAAGATCCCTGTGCCCAAATTTTTTGGTTCTGTTGCTCTCATTGTGAAGCTCCTGTCCTCTCCAGGTCTTACTATCTCCTGCTTCTTTCATAAGATTCCCTGCACTCTGCCCAAAGTTTGGTTATGAGTCTCAACATCTGCTTTGTTACACTACTGGGTAGAGTCTTTCAGAGGCCCACCTTGGCAGGCTCCTGTTCTGTTTCCTGTTTTCTCCTTCTTCCAATGTCTGTCTTGTTTTTCTTTCCGAGTGAGGATTGATCATCTTACCCTGGGTCCTCCTTCTTGCTTTGGTTTCTTTAGGTGTACAGATTTTTGTAGGTTTATCCTATATTATATGTCTAGTATCCACTTATATGTGAGTATATACTATGTGTGTCTTTCTGCTTCTGGGATACCTCACTCAGGATGATCTTTCTAGATTCCACCCATTTACCTGCAAATTTCATGATTTCCTTGTTTTTAATTGCCGAGTAGTATTCCATTGTGTAAATATACCACAATTTCTGTACCCATTCCTCCGTTGAGGGACATCTGGGTTGTTTCCAGGTTCTGGCTATTATGAATAAAGATGCTAAGAACATGGTTGAACAAATGTCCTTGTTGTATACTTTAGCATATTTTGAGTATATGCCTAGGAGTGGTATAAAATTAAAATTCTTTTAGAAAAGGTCACAATTGGATTAAAAAGGAAGCTACAACTGTTGTCCATCACTCAGAGAAAATTTAATCAGGTGACAAGAATGATGTACATGTAATGTTGTAGACAGAGGCCTAAATAGATGAAAAGGAGAACAAGGATTTTAACTAAGAAAATTTTAGCTAGGCATGGTGGAAGACACCCTTAACCCCAGCATCCAGGAGGCAGAAGTAGGAAGATATCTGTTGGTTTGAGGATAGCTTGGTATACACAGTGAGTTAACAGGCCAGTCAGGGCCACATTGTGGAATTGTGCTCCCAAAAAAGAGAGAGAGAGAGAGAGAGAGAGAGAGAGAGAAGAAAAATGAACATTTTAAAAGTCACCCATGTCTTATAAATTTGCCCAGGTAAAGACCCAGAACATAAATCGGTACACAAATGTGTGTGTTTACTGGAAAAAGCCAATTAGGCTCAAAGGAAACAAAGTCCCTGGATTACTGGAATCTTGGGTAGCCACAGAGGAGCCATACACAGTGGACAGTCCAATCTCCAGCTCTGCAGTGGCTCATAGGCATTGAGGATCCAACTTGTGAACATGGATGGAACAAAGGAGCAGACTATGACAACTACCTTGCTGCTGCCTATGTAAACACTATGTATGGGTGCTTTGCCTGCATGTATGTCTGTGTTCTATTTGCATGCCTGGTCTCAGAGCCAGAAGAGGGCACTGCATATCTCAGAACTTGAGTTAAGAGTTGTGAGTCGCCATGTAGGCACATGTGGAATTGAATCCAAGTCCTCTGGAAGAGCAGCCAGTGCTATGAATCATCTCTCCAGCTCCCTTCCTGTTGATTTCCAAAGCAGGAAACATAGCTGGTTTTATGACTTTAAATAAGAAAATACCACAATGTTTCTACAAGAGAACAAACTACACCATTTCCTCACAGTTTTACGTATTAAATACTTGATCACATCTTTCTAGTTAAAATGTTTTATTTCATATAATCATCTATTTGAAAGAAAATTTTACAAAGAGGTGAATGTTGTGAATATAAACATGTTTTTGTTTTGGTCCAGGTGTGTGGGACTGATTCAGATGGTCCATAGCAGCAAACTATTTGCCTCATGCGGGCTCTGAGAGAAGCTCTTTGCCAGCTGCTGATAGTTTAAATCTGAGGACTCTGGAGAGAGAATAAATGCCAGAGCCCAGAGAGTAGAGATCAGAGAAAGAACAAGGCTGCTCCTGCTTCCCCCTTTCTGCTCCTACTTGCTGTTGCTACACAAGAAGTTAGAGATCTCCTGAAACGAGGTCTGGACTGGCTCTAAGGAACCCGACGGCCCTGATCAGCAGGAAGCAGCTAAGAAAGAAGTACGTCCCCTCTCCCACTAACCCTTTCTCTCTCCTACCTCATGTTGGGATGTTGGAAGGGATTGGGGTGCAGTAGAGAGAAAAAAATAAAAGAAATGTAAGTAAAAGAGTTTTTACAAAACTATGTCAAAAGGTAAATGCCGCTTGCTTAAAAACAATGAACATGGAATTGAATCCAATTCATTGCTTAAAAACAATGAACTAAAACTATGAACTATGGTCCAGTGTACTCCTGGATCAGTACATCCTTTCAACTAAAAGGCAAAATTATATGCTAATTTTTTGAGGCAGGATCTCACTGTGCAGCTGTTTAGACATGAACTCACAGAAATCCACCTGCTTCTGATTCCCAAGTGCTGGGATTAAAGGTGCTGCCATACCTAGCTCTCCAAATATTTTTAAATACTAAAATAACTACTATAACCAATTTAAAGTGCCATGAACTATAAAATTATATACTACTAGGAAAAGAGAAAACTTGCTGCCGATCAAGCCTGACGCAAGCATTCTGACTTCAGAGAGAGTAACATATGAGCTATACAGTGGACTACACTTCTAAGTTGGGCCCAGTGGCTTGCTGGCCTTTTTTTTTTTTTTTTTTTGACAATGTCTTTTTATTTAACTCTGGCTGTCCTGGAACTCTCCAACTCAAAGAGATCCTCCTATTTCTGCCTCCCAAGTGCTGAGATTAAAGATACATGCCATTATTCCTAGTTTAAATTGTTTTGGAAACTGAAAGCCACTGTGAAAAACAATGGAAAGATAAAGAATAAGATGTCCTCTCATGGGGGCTGGAGAGATGGCTCAGTAGTACAGTCTGTTCTTCCAAAGGACCGTGTTCAATTCCCAGCACCCACATGGCAGCTCACAACTGTCTGTAACTCCAATTCAATGGGATCTGATACCCTCACACTAATGCATATAAAACAAAATTAAATAAATTATTTTAAATAAGAAAGATGCCTCTTCTTCCCCCCACACCAGGTAAAATCTAGAGCCTAAGTCTCTCTGGTCAGGTGGAGGAAGTAAAATAAATTTTAAATACTTTATAATTCAATACAAAATTTTTTTAAACAATCAGGTTTACCTTTATTTTCTTTTAGAGTACAAAATAATGGATTTCAATATGGTATTTCCACATATGTATTGGTACTTTTTTTTTTCAAGTGTCATAGAGAGGCAGCCAGATGGTAGTCCAGTGAATAGGGACACTTGGCACCAAGACCTGAGTTCAATCACCAGGACGCAATAGGTGGGAGGAAGGTGTCAATTCCCACAATTTGTCCTCTGACCTCCACATGTGTACTATGACACGGAGACAAACAAACGCCAGCACTGACCCCCAAAAATGGTAAAATGCACTGAAGTGCTACATAAAATCACTACCTTCTATTAGCATTGTTTCTAAAGTAAAACAAAGCATCAGAAATGTTTTATTGCAAAGGAGGAGTGGTGGCTCATACTTGCAATCACTGCACTTGGGAAACAGAAGCAGGGGACCACCAAGGTTGAAGGCCTGACTGGCTGGGCTAAATTCAGTTTTAGGTCACCTACTTGTTTTTTTGAGACAAGACCCTGTCTAAAAAAAGAAAAATAAAAAAGTGTGTGAGTGTGTGTGAATGTGTTTTTGTGTGTAGGGGTTTGAGAAAATGGTTTAAAGCTCTTATTCACTTGCTGCTCTTTCAGAAGACCTGAGTTCAGTTCCCAGCACCCACATATGGCTCTCAAACCTCTGTAACTAAAGCTGTAGGGGGTCTGACACCTTCTGGCCTCCAAGGAAACCAGACAGAAGCAGCACACTTACACACATGCAGGCAAAACACTCATTCACATAAAATATTTTTAAAGGCTTGTCATTATTCTGTTATTTAACACAAACACCAAAAGTTATTTTGTCATCACTTACAACATTTTCAGAACAAGGAATAATTTTCTTTTTCTGTTATAACAAACTGGAAGAGCTCCCTGTCTCTATCTCAACAATCCAAAGCTATTTAAAGAAACAGCACTTACATGACTGGCAGCACTTCTTAAAGAGGCAATAGTATTTTCCTGTACTTTAGCCAGCCTGAAATAGAGAAGAAATGCAGTCATCAAGGGCAAAAAAAAAAAAAAAAGAAATATTGTGGTAAGCCAATTATATCCCATCTTCAACAGTAAAAACAAGACTTACCTTTTATGCTGAGGCTAATTCTGCTAGCCTCATAATGTGATTGTGAACACAACTGGCTGCTATGTGCCCTTAATTCATGAACACAAGCTCTATTATTTATAATGGTAGATGTATTTCACACCACAACACAGTTTTCCTGCACTTGGATTTTTTTCTTGGAAAAAAATTAGGTGCCTAATTAAGGAAAATAATCCTTTTCAAGGGCATGAAGAAACTGAGAAGAAACTTACTTGTAATAAAGCCCCCAAATGACTTCATACTGGCAAAACAAAAAGAACAGAAAATGACACTAACAGGGTAGATGTCATTAAGAAAAAAGTAGGAAAGGTACTAGAAGGAAAAAGAGTGCTTGATGCTCAAGCATAAGGACTTGAGTCCAGATTGCAGCAGCCATGTTAACACCCATGTGAAAAAAGCCAGGCCTGTCTGTACATGCCTAAATCTCTGATAGGGTGGTAGACAGGTACAGG